AAACAACAAAAATACAATTAAATATACCAACCCCACCGAAGTGTCCAAGTTCTTAATTTTGTTTAAGACCATAAAGTGAATTATAAAATAGAAAATAATTCATGGAATTCCCTTGTATAATAAATTAAGTTTATCTCCAAACAAAAGTTTGTGGCATTTATTAATTCACCACAAAATCAACAAAAACCAAAAACTTTATGAAACTAAATTAAACAATTCCAAAGTAACTAAAGCCCTAACCATTAAAGTCAACTATCGACCCAAAATATTTTTTGGAAATAATTCGAAGCTTAACAAGTTCGGTACGGGTATGACAATGGTAAATCCAGTTCAAATGACAAAATGGCAGTGGCATTAAGCATAAAGGCAAGCAGAAATATGAAATCCTTGCAGCAACATAAAAACAAAATGCTACATGCCCGTACTGAGAACCCTATAAAGCACTCAATACACTGCAAATTTATTATTTAAGTTCAAATTCTTACTGGTCGTCATATTCTATATTTTTCCAGAGAATTTCTACCAAAATTAATTTTAATTTTTTTTTCCTCTTTTTATTGCTATACGTATGGTGTATCTGTACTTAATTTATTACTCAAACTTTATTTTCAACTTGTATTTTATAGTCTTAGAAAAATTATTTTAAAAACTTGCTGCATTAAATATCTCAAAAGTCTTTGCGTAATAAATTAATACCACTCAAACACTCACACACACATGCACACAAACACAAATGTAAACACATATTAACGCAGCCAACAAAGCCAATTTAATAACATAAAATGGCGTTTTTAACACACATTACGGAGTGGAAAATTATTACGAGTTTTGTATGGAATTCAAAAAAAATATGTTTTATTTCACTGTAAAGTCGGTTTATTGACTTTTCATTAACCACAACAAACGACCTAAGTGCACCATTAGAAAACAGCAGCGATATTAAGTACAACAACGACTACAAAGGATACGCAACTTATGGACTACAAAATGATACGATTCCTACGGACTACGACGCAGTCACAAAAACAACAATTGCTGCGAAATAATTTACTACAGTCAGTCATAATTGGTACTCCTGTCTGGAACATAAATATTTGCTATCTCAACTTCAACCACCAATTTATCCTTATCCCTAACGCCGTCACCATCACCGTCACTATTATCACAGGCAACGAAATAAGTACCAATGAGGCCAGCAAAAAAACTTTCAACTTCTCAACATAAATTCTTTTACTTCCGGCGCCAACATTGTCGCTTTGTGATCCTTTTTTAATAAATTGGATACTTAACTTCCTTAACAATTAAATAACTACGCCAACGGCAATATAACGAGTCTACATTAGATTCAGTTATGAAATATTATGAAAATATTAAAAATACAACAACAAATAAATAAGAAATTTTCGTAACAGGAGTAATAACAAACAAATAGAGGAAAACAAAGTAAAATAAAACAATAAAATTTGTTTAAGTATCAACAACAATTACCGGTAGTACTGTAAATCCTTGGAATAAGGCAAAAAGTCGGCAAGTCTGCATGGTGACTCATTTTGGAGCTTTTATCGCTGTTCCGCTGCCTTGCCCTTCAGCATTTTTATGCAAATATTTGCGATTCCAAGAATTTTTAATAGTTTTTGTGTGTAGTTCGGAACAATGCAAGCAATGCAATATTTTTTCATTTCAAATAGCTAAAAAGATTATAATCACTTTATAAGGATATTTTGATTTTCAACGCTTACGAAGAATACAGACAGTTTTCAACTGGATATGAGATTCTCTCTTGTGGGAACTTGTAAATACAAAGCCAATAAATGGACTTTCAAATAATCTGTTTCCGAATTTTTGTCATTTTAGATCAAACCTACCCCTACTTACACCCTAACACTATATCAGAAAAATGCATATGGGGGATATATCCCTTCATAGTATCGTCCACTTCACATTTTTGTAATGCCTGTGGATTTTAATAATAGCAGAGCTTTCTGTTTTTTCCAATTAGTGCATAGATAGTCTTTTGTTTCCCCTCACCTGGTCACAAAAACTTTCAAAACTAACGCGCAGATGACAATAAAGTTAGTTTCTTAAGATCAATTTGTGGAATATCTGTCGGACTCATTAGTTCGCATATTATCATAATGGAATATTTCAATATTAGCAAGTCCATATTAACGCAGCCAACAAAGCCAATTTAATAACATAAAATGGCGTTTTCAACACACATTACGGAGTGGAAAATTATTACGAGTTTTGTAGTATGGAATTCAAAAAAAATATGTTGTATTTCACTGTAAAGTCGGTTTATTGACTTTTTATTAACCACAAGTGTTGTTGGGCATCTTATATGGATAGGCATATTAACTAATATTTTGAGTTTGATACGTGTCGCTTCTCGGTTGGTGCCAAAAAGCTGATTTTCATTTAAAAAAAGCGTCATTGTAATGGCCAAAGAGATGATTTCCAACGCACATAGTCACCCCACATTCATCGAACGCATCATAACTGGTGATGAGACATGAGTCTATGAATTCGACATGCCCACCAAACAACAATCTACCGAATGGTGCTTCAAAGGTGAGCCAAAGTCGGTCCAAAACCAAGATTATGCTGACTGTTTTCTTCAATATTCGTGTTGTGGTGCACTATGAATTCCTTCCGGACGGTCAAACGATCAATACGGAGTATTATTTTTTCGTTATGCGTTGTTTGCGTGAGGCCATTCGCAAAAAGAGGCCAGATTTATGGAAGGAAAACTCATGGATTTTACACCACGATAACGCACCGGCTCACACAGCGTTGGTTATGTCGCAGTTTTTGACCAAAAACTCCACCAATATCATTAACCAAGCACCGTAGTCTGCACATATGGCCCCGTGTGACTTTTTCTTCTTCCCCCGACTTAAATTGCCATTGCGAGGAACGCGTTTTGAGTCCATAGAGGCCATAAAAGAGAATTTAGCGTGAACTAAAGGCCATACCTTCGGCGGCCTATAAAACTTGTATGGAAAATTGGATTAAGCGTTGGCATGCATGTATTGCCGCAGGAGGAGAGTACTTTGAAGGCGATAATAAAGAAAATGATTAAAAATTAAAATTTTGCGTTTCTGATTTTAAATTCTTGTTCTTTTTATATATACTTATTTATTAGTTAGATTAGATTTTCAAAAAAGTATTAGTATATAATATCAATTGTTATAAAAAAATTAATTATAAAATGGAAATAAATATAAATAAATACGAAGTAGTAAAACAGAACAAAGGAGAACAAATTTAGAGTGCAAAATTTAAATGTATATAAAATACACTATAATACTGTAATAACACTCAGTATTGTTATTGTTCATTATAGAACATATAGTATTATTTGTATAACTTCAATTAAATAAATCGAACAATCTTTAACAAGTGTGACATAACGCTGGGAATTCGTCTCTTCTGTCAATCCACATTCTGTTATAAATTGTATAGAGCCCCTTTCGCAATTTCACATCCAGTAATACTTGAACAGCCCTAATAATTTTTGGCTTGGACAGGATTTTAATCAGATTATATAAATAACATAACTTCTATTCAAGCATAAAAAACTCGTCATTATTATTTCTGATATTTTCTTGGTGTATTAAAACTAATTCGATTTCTAAATATTCCATTAACTTCTGTATATTTTATTGTTACTAAATTATGTATAACCTTACATTCTTACTTAATTACTTGCTACCTTATTTTAGAATTAGAAATCGTATTTCAATTATAGTGTAAGTGGATTTCAACATACTTAATCAAAGTTAGCAGAAGTTTGCAGGAACAGCAAGAAAAGCGAGTACTACAGTCAAATTATTTGTTTTAGTGACAATAAAACGATTATGCATGATAGCAATAGCAGGTATTGGCACAAAATTCTGAATATACTAGTAAGTAGCGCTATTTCACAACTCATGATAATCCTGATCTGTTCTTAACTTGGCAACATAATTGCATAATATGTTGTGGAAAATAAAAATTCAGAAGTCTAATGCTAAACTGTTGTTGGAAGCAAGACTGGATTTCAAGATCTGTATAGTACTTAACATTTAAACATTTTAACATTTTAGCTGAACAATTTATTAAGTGCAATGTTGTCATCTATTAACTCTAATATTTTTTTAAATTTTAAAATATTTCAATTAAAAAAGATTTTGCACCTTTAAAAACTCCATTTCATTTTATCATTAAAACTAACTTTCTCTTTGAAAGTTGCACTAAGCATAATAATTTGAAAACAAAACCATAAAAAACGCACACAATTTGGGGAAAAACAACAATAACAAGAAAATTTTTAAACTTTCGGAATGAAGACTGTAAAATTATTACAGGAAAATCGAATACTTTAACAATTTTGTATGAAATGAAAGAAATTTCTCCGTTTGGCACGTGTACCGAATGCAAATTATTTCAATACCTCAGGGGAATTTTGAGAAATTTTAACGTGTTTTACATTTTTTGAAATGCATTTAATGATGATGATTGCAGTACCGACAACTGCAGGAAGGAGACTCGTGTCAATAGTGTAAATGCAAATGAAATGGAATAGCATAGAACAGAAAATTACGGGCACGGAATAAAATGCATGAATCTCCATTCTTGTAACACATAAAATATTAAAGGCTTTAGGGCTTTTTGCTGACACGAAATTTTCAAAGTATATCCATTGTTTTCGTAATATTAAGCATTAATTATGAGTTTCATTATTCTTTTTAAAGTCAGTGCTTTTTAATACTACTTTGGAAATACTGAAGTCATTGAATTTTCTATATAGTGTACAAAAAATCATATTAAACTTGTCTTACTATATATGTTCACAACATAGAATAAATACTATAATAAAAATTATAACGATTTTAAACTTATTCAAAGGGAGTCTGTTCACCAACCAACTATTTTCAACCATTCTTACTCTGATAAGGAATCTATTAGCCCAATTATTAAATACGGTAAAAGGACATGATTTTTAAAAAAAATTAATGTAACATGTGATACTGAACGACCAAATTTTATTCTGTCAATTTGGCTCACGGTTGAAACAAATATATTAAATTCTTCTCTTCCAGGGTTTTTAGGCATTTTTTCGAACAACTAGGAAATTTATTCGGAAGTTTATTACTCAAAACTCAAAACTCTCAAAATAATGAGTTGAAAACTGAGGCATCGTTGTTAATTTGCCTTCTTCCAGTCAAATTACTGTCAAACAGCAATTTATTACTATTAATTAGATTAACTTCCCATTCTTAGTTGTCATTACAGATATTGACACATTATTAAAACGAACTCCTTACAGTGCATTATTTGTCTATCAAAAGTTATATCAGTCCATTTCATATACTTTGTAAGTTCTTGAAATTTTTCTTTTTTACTTTTCACGACTGAGTCATTATTGATATTGAAACATTTTTGTAACGTAATCATTGTAGTTGATATGCCCTTCATTATTAACGTCAGCGTCTTTTATCATTTCTTCTACCTCTTCTTCGCTTAACTGTTCACCCATTGTAGTCATTATATCTTTTAAATCAGCTACAGTAAGGAAACCGTTTCCATCGGGATCAAACACACGAAACGCTTCACGAATTTCATTTTCAGTGCTGACATTATGCATATACCGTTCCATCATTATAAGAAAATCGTCAAATTCCACAACTCCTCTTTTGTCTATATCAATTTCAGTAATCATGTCACGTAGTTCGCTTTCTGTTGGATTCCGACCAAGAGAACGCATAACAAGACCAAGATTTGTAATTGGAATATTACCGTCTTCATTTTTATCAAAGAGATTAAAACCTTCTCTTATTTCCTCAATCTCCTCCACAGTTAACTGATCAGCCATCTTACCCTTAATAAAATGATTAATAATCAATTCCTAGCAACTTAGAAACATCTTAAAACAAACCTGGAGCAATAATGAAATCGAGCCAAAAACTACTAAAATTTAGAAACTATTTCCAAAAAAAATGTTTTACAAATGAAAATTTCATAACAAATTAAGTTAAGTTTTTTTAAATTAGAAAATACGGTTACTTTTCTTCATACATATCAAAAGTAATTTTGAACTACTTCATCGTACTTATCGGAGGACTTTAGACCTTTTAAAACTTTGCGAGTAAAACAAATCATAAGTAATATAATATAAATAACAGTCGAAATATTTTATTTATTTTTGGAAGCTGTTTGACTAATAAACAATTTAGAAGTATACTTAATATATTTCTGTTAATATTAATTACCAAACTTTATTCTTCGCGATTTAGTCACACGATTTTCACTGCATATTCATCATAGCAAGAAAATCTTGAAAGTCTACTTTTCCATCGCCATCGCTATCTGCTACACGTATCATCTCCAAAATCTCTTGGTCACTAATGTTTTCACCCAAATTTATCATTACAACTTGAAGTTCCTCAGCGGTAATGAATCCATCCCCATCTCTATCGAAAACTTTAAACGCCTCCCGAATTTCTTCATTTTCATCATTTTCTTGCATCTTTTTTGCCATCATAATCAAAAATTCATTAAATTCAATTGTCCCGTTGCCATCAATATCAACTTCGGCCATCATGTCTTGTAATTCCACATCTGTTGGACTTTGACCAAGAGAATGCATTACGACACCCAATTCATCCAATGTAATTCTTCCATCACCATCGATATCAAACATATTGAAAGCTTCTCTAAATTCATCAATCTGTTCTTCCGTTAAGTTTTCAACCATTTCTTCTTATAATATAAAAAATAAAAATTAGCGAAAAACTTTTGAAAATTTTTTTGAAAACAAAACTTGTCTCTAAACTATGTGAAGACAAGCTTGAAGATCTTATTTTTCAAAAATAAAAATATTTAGTAAATTAAATCCTAAATAATTAAATTTTTTATTAAAACTTACAGTGCATACCAGATGCAAATTCGTATATATATGTCATATATATGAGTATTTTCCACATACATCTGATAGCTTAATCCAAGAGAAGAACAAAATTGTGTTGGAGAGAGGATATGTTGTTAATGCAGACAATCAAAGAAAGGGCTACTAAGAAAAGGTTTTCAAACAAGAAAATGAAACGAGTCTTCACTCATCTTTGTGAAAGAAACAAATATCGCTTTAAATCAAGCGTATGAAATCTGTGTAAAGAGACGTATAGGAGGACTGCGCTTTAATATATGCAACAATAAAATGTATTGCATATCTTTCAGTGATTTAAGAAGCGTGCTAGATCTTGGGGATACAGAATAATTATAATTCGTACAATCCTGATGAAAAAACAGTTTGTTCTTTATTTAAGTCAACTTTTTGGCAATCTTACCAGATATCAGATATCACAACAAAGCGCTATAATATTTCTTACTGATCGTTTTCCGTTTTATATAGAAATCATGAAAGTCAAGTAAGGCGTATTATGATTTCTGATTGACTTTGGTGTGCTTAGTGTTTATCTTACGTCGGTTCCTATCCATTCAGTTGACAAATATATTTTAGCAGTATTCGCAAGCATTAACGCCCATTTCGATACCAATTTACTAATGGCTTAATCGTTTTTTTTTTACAACTAAGCTTTGCAATCGTTAAAAAATATTTGTGTATCTTTTCAAGGTTTTTCAAATTAAAAGCCTAATTTGAGTAACGACAAAATACGTCATTTTTGAAATAAGTACGATTGCCTTAAAAGATTACTAATTCTCTAGCGGAATACATCTCATAAATGTGGGTGAATATTTCCCTTTAATATTAGCTAACAGCAAAAATCGAATGTCCAAACCACACTTTATCCAATGTCTGGAAAATTGATTCACATGAACTTATCAATTAATGATCAAATTTTCAAATACACCATGCCATGGTTGGTATAGGCACTTTATTTTAATACGAGATCCTAAAACCTAGAAGCCGACAAATGAAATAAGATCTACTCGTATATCATATTACAATCAGTAAAATAAAACATCAATTCGAAATTCATGAATTTCATGAAATAAAGTAACTCGACTTTTCTTGCTATTGCCATGTATTTTGGTTTGTTTTATTTCGTTTATGGTTGAAAGAAATACGTGTATAAATAAAATTCCTCTTCCAGGCCAGCTTTTTAGCGAGACAATTTTTTATTGTCAACATCTCTGCATCAAAGTAAAGGCTGGCAGTGTGATTCGGTAAGCTTCACCTGAACATATCATGACATCTGTATCTCTTCTACAAGGAACTGTTTTTCACAAAATTAACGTTTGGACATCATTTCTACGAATTCATTATAATCAATTTGACCATCACCGTTTAAGTCAGCTTCACGTATCATTTCGTTCGCCTCTTCTAACGTTAGTTTTTCACCCATATTTGTCATTACATATCTAAGCTCCTCAGCCGAAATAAAGCCATCTCCATTTCTATCAAACACTCGGAAGGCGTCACGAATTTCCTGATCACTATTTACGTCTCTACTCATTTGTCTGGCCATCATAGCCAAAAATTCTGGAAACTCAATGGTTCCGCTATTGTCAACGTCAACTTGGGTAATCATTTCAGTTAATTGTGATTCAGTTGGGTTTCTACCAAGAGATCGCATTACGACACCTAGTTCATTTGTGGTGATAAAACCATCCCCATCTTTATCAAATAAAGTAAAAGCTTCTCTAAATTCTTGAATTTGCTGTTTCGTCAAACGTTCTGCCATGTTGACTTCAGGAAAAAATTTTAATGGTTAATAGTTTTCTAATAGCAATAAAATTAGAATCAAAGTGTACTATAAAAAAGAAGGCTGAAGAGGCCTGGAAGAGGAACTGGTTTAAACGGTTTAAACTGGTTTTAAAATTTGGAGACTATTTTTGATAATAAATTTTTAAACAAAATAAAAGTTTAAAAATATTTAACTTTATTCTTTATATATTTAAAAATTTTAAAGGTTACTTCTTTTTCAACACAAATAAATATTCATTGAAAATTAAACGTCAGATGTTAATTGTAAATGTGAAGATCTCTTGAATTATTTTAACTTTAAAGAACTGTAAACAATGGAATAAATATAAATTGTGAATAAATGGAAATTTTAAGTAGTGTTCTGAAAAACATAATGCATCTTCCCTTTAATCTCAAAATAATATATTTTCTTGACTTCTTGAAAGATAAGAAAAGTAGTATTTAAAATTTTCATGTACAAATCCTGCATTTGATATTATCTTCAGCAGTAAATTCATTTCAATGTAAATAAATGAAAGCAATAATAAACAAAGTTGGTAAACATCGTACTCAATTAAGATCCCAATTGGACGTAAAGCTAAGAAACTTATTTACTTTTCCAGAACAGAAGTTAAGTATGTACGTGGGTCGCTATTTATATTTTGAGCCTTAGAATGAAAAAATACTAACTCGTTGTTGAAAATTGCTCTATTGTTTCTCAAAGTATTCTCCTTTATGATTAGTACTTTTTTGCATAAGTTCGAACCATTTTGTCAAATCATTTTTTCCAATCTTATTCGGACACCTCCAGAACATGGTTTTTAAATGCAACAGCAGATTCTACCGCCGACAAAAATCATGAGTGATTTTGAAATTTTGTGTAATGATGGGGAATTCAACGAGAATAAACCTTTTTCGCGGCTAAATGATCATATCAGCACCACATCAATGTTTTCTGGCACAGCAACTAGCAATTCATTTTGGACGACCTTCACGAATTTGGTCAATGAGCGAATTGCGGCCACGATTAAAATCTTTAAACTACAAAGTGGATTGAGCAAAAGGTCCTCCACCAACATAAGCTATTTAATATGCAAGAGAAAGGAAGGGATAAAATAATCAATAGTTGGAAATAAGTTCAACAAAATCAAAGTAGCATTTAAATGGACAGAAGAAAATATCATCCACTTATATTAAAAATTACCTCATCTGTATGCTTAAAGAAAAAGTTAATCAAACCGAGTAAATCAAAAATTTAATAATTTGTGTCTTTTTTGTGGATTTATATTTAACATAATAATATACATAATCTTGTACATAAACTGAAGCTGTTAACTATGGAACTTTGAAACTTTGAAAGACATGATAATTTCAAACATTCCTAGTTTCATGATGATGTTCTATCATTTCGAAGAAAGATTTAAAAAAAAAACGGTCATGGCAAGAAAAGAAAAAAAAAAGATCGTTAGAGGTTTAACAGGAGAATGGTTCTACATATTTACGTTAGGGCTGTATGAAAGCCTATATCACAAAACATTATAAAACATTGAAGTAGAGTTTCACCGTTTTTTATAAACATCAAAACTAATAATAATTTGTATATATCATGAAAGCTGAAAGAATATTTTGTTATTGGAAAATTTTATTGCAAATATTTTATTCTAATTATCTGTGTACACTTTCTTAACTTTTAAGAAAAATTTGAGTATTAGTAGTTCATATCCCTTCACATTAAGCCATGTGCATTATCATATCGCGGTACATAAAAATATAAAGATATAGATAAAGAAATTTCAACTTTTTATTAATTTTAAGATTAATTATTTGTTTAAATTTTTTAAAATGACAATCATTAAAAAAGTTACTGCTATAAAAAGCATTTATATTCATGTTATTGTAAAGAGACTCACATCGTACTGTGTTCTTAAAAATTATTTAAATGTTAAATGACATACTCTTGTAATATTTTCATTTCCTAATATCGAATAACTATATAACATATATGAAATACATACATCAAATAATGGACTTTGTATTTTTCTGTGAAAAAAATTTGATTTGATCTAAAGAAACACCCAATTTTAATTAGGAAGGACTAATGAAATTTCAACCATTACTACCGATAAGTGATCTTTAGAATTATTAAGGATATTTGCAACTTTCTACTTTTACAAAAATGATTTTATTTTATTTATATATTTTTTTTATTTAAAAATTATTTTAAAATTTGAGACAAAATTAATTCCTTTAAATTGAGTTAAAATTTACTTATTTCCATCAAATATGGTATCATTTTGTGTAGCACTTAAATTAAAATAAATTAGAAAAACATATAGTTCTGAGTTAGGTGCTACATTGAATAGCTATGAAGTTCACATTTCATTATTTATTTTTTATTAAACGCGTCAGATTCGATTATTCTCACTTAAATTATCTTTTGGATGTCCACCGGTGCGTATGATTAACATTCTTTGTGTGTGTTTAAAATTTTTTTTAGAAAACTATTCGAATTCGAAGTTTCAAGGATGCATAAAAGGATTTTTTTATGCATGCATACGTTAAAAAAATTTCCATAACATAAATATGTTAGTATGCTTATTTATGTATGTATATATATGTGACGTGCAACATAAAAATGAAAGTGGAATGCATTTAAGCATTTTTTATAAAAATTGCGTGCATAATTTAAGCGCAAATAGCACTAGTCTTTGCTACACCAAACTAAAATTTTATGTATCAGATTATGTATAAATTCGTAGGTATATATATATATATATATATATATAAGGATGTACAGACTTCTGCATACAGTTACGTTATGCTTAAACTTACGAATATGCAAAAAATTTGAAATAGCCCAACAAAATTATTCCTTTTACATATTTTATTTTTTTGGTTAAAGTAAAATATTATTTGCTATTGTGACCGAAATTTATGCAAGCCTGAAGCGTACTTTAGCAATATTTTATGTGCACGAAGCAGGAAAAAAGACGTCCTTGTTGCACCTGCTTTAGTTGATTTTATTCACACTGCAGTAAAGCTGATAAAAAAATGCGGTAATCTTAACAAAATTGAATTTATGACTGATGTCACATGCAAGGCATGGCAAGCATGGCAATGCAAAACAAAGCGTAAAAAATTACAAACGCTCAGCTAATTTATGCCACATGCTGCAACGTTGCATGAGTTGGCAATATTTTTAGAAATATTCTTCTTTTTTCTAAATAAAATGCAGAAATTCGGGCAATAGAAAATTTGATTTGTTAAACAAGTGCGTCAAAGCAACGGAAGTGTCAGGGATTATAATGTGATCTTTAAATCACAAAATGTAGAAAATATAAAGTTTTATTAAAAAAGTGTTATTAAAGGATTAAAAATGTTAATATGTTGTTTAATGTTTTAAAATGATTATTATTATTATTTCCGTGACTCCTTAAAATATAATATAGTTAAAGCAACCAAAATTGCAAATATGAACTATCCACTACAAATTGTTATTTTTAATACAACTACAACATAGTTGTTTAATTGCAATAGACTTAAATCATTAAGATTTCCATTTCCATAAAGGTCAATTTTTATAACGTAAAGTTACGTTAACCTGGTCAATAGCTAAACAAATCTCTGTTAAACACTGGGAAACTAGATGAAACTAAACTTTATACACATTTTTATAAGACATCAGATGTCAACGGTTTCTAAAATCTGACATTTGTTTGAACTGAGTTTATTGTAGATTGTAGAAGTCATAATATAAAATGTAAACACTTTTTCACAACTAAGAAGTGCTGCAATGCATTTCAAGTATCCAAATTGCGAAACCTCCGAACGTATTGAAAACGTTCCCAGTAATCCATACATAAGCATAAGACATGCTCCAAAATGTCGAATATTCCTATCTCCCTGTATATCCTTCATGTGATACTATTGGTAGTTTCTGTCTTGTTTGCGTTCACTACTACTAGATTGTGGCTCTTCAGCATAGTTATTATAGTTCTACAATCTTTCCGTGAGAGTGCTAATATATAGTGTATGTAATAAATAGAGTATAATTTTCTTTATTTGGCCTACACTTATCTTTTTACGATTTTGCAGCTGTATCAACTATTTCACTCCGCCATTAACTGCATTTCACATTATTATCTATTGCGTGCTTAAAATCTTTTTAAGGTGTTAGTATATAGTTTTCTTTTTAAATTCAAAATATTTAGCAAAAAATTATTATTTTTAATAGAATTATTTAAATATAAGTGAAATTTCGTCCACAAAATCTTAGTTTCGAATTTATTTGATTTTTTGCTGACTATGCCAATTATCTGTGACTTTTGAGTTTTTAATAATTATTAAATCAACAAATAAAGTGAAGCAACCGAGCTGTTTAAATTGTAAATCAAGTTAAGTTGTGTATTAAAAACGTGTGCGAGTTAGGCTAAGTTGTGTTCTAAATGAGGGAAATTCTAAGTTGTGCCGATAATGTATTGATGTGTCGATTCGTGTTGATAAATGGCTAAATGTCTGCAGTGCACAAAATCCCAAAAAATCTCCCATTTGGTTTAGCATCAATTTAGCCTAACTCGCACACGTCCTAAATGTAATGTATTAGCAATTTTCAAATTTAGTAATTAAGTTGCTTATTAAGAAAAGTTTTTGTGAATTAAGTTCTGTTCTTACTAACTCGTGTTTGATGGGTGTTTATTTTTTTGTGTTTAAACTATGAAACTAAATAGCTACAACAATAATATTTTTTCTCAAACAATATAACTATTCATTTATTTTAACATTGTTTTCTTTAACAATTACCTTTAGTCATTTAATATATTTATCTATAGAAGAGACATATATTTTCTGCAACTTATTTCCATTTGCAAATTAATAACTGCGATACAATCCATCAGCCCCGGCAATAATAACAAACAAAAAACACTACTAACAACTCTAATTTAATTTAATTAATGTTTTTGAAAATAATATTAAATTGATAGGTACACAAGCATAATGTAGAGTACACAACAAATGTAACAACATTTAACACGAGTGTTCTATGACAACGAACAGTGATTTGCATTGTACTTGTGACTGAAGAAAATGACACAAACGCAAACGGAACGTGCATGACAATATAATCAGAGTTAGCAACGACTAAAAAACTGAAGCTTTATATTGTCACAACTGGGA